GTGAAATCATTCGTTGCTTCTTCCGCGACGTTTCATCTTATAGGAAAATTTACGCGACGAATGCATAGCGTTCGCTCCTGCATACGTGTCGCGAGATTCGCGTGAAAGTCGAAGGGAGAAATAGTTTCTATCGTTGTCGAAATTAAGCAGGCCTGGATTTCGAAGGACATTTCTCAGTCACCGCTTTATAACCTTCGAAACATTGGGACTTTTGGACAGTTGGATGCTACGTGTCTTGGCCTAACCACTAGTCCTCTTCAACAGTATTCCGTCCTTGCATCTAATTTGTTTTACTACGACCATAGGTATGTGTCACTTGGTTTATTCCTTGTAAAAGATCTCTAAAATGGATCTTTTAAATCGACACAAATATTTTCGAAACTGTTGATGGTACTGAAAAATGTCTCAAACAGCGGTTGAATAGTTTCTGATGCGCGTAGATTAATTTATAATTTTTCTTATGCGAAGGTATGATTTGTTTTTCTGAAATAAAGTCATATGTTTATCAATTTTATTTAACGAGTGACGGATGAATAGATGTTACGAGAGGATTGACTGTATCTACGAATCTCTGTCGTGATAGTTTGGCCTCAAAACATAGGAAGCGAAACCCTCCTGGGATTCAAGTTCGGCTTAAGAACTTTAGTCTATAGTTTATCAGCTGACAACCATTGGTATAACCGTCATGTTACACAGTTAGGTACTTAAGATTGTCATGTGAAATAGCATGTATTGCATAATAAATTTATGTATGCAGAAGTTGTATAGCGGTTTGGTCTAAGTCGACATAACGCCATAACAATAATAAACCTGTGAAGGTATTTTTGTAATATTTATTTTTCTCCGCGTTCCTTACATTTTCAGATTTATTTAATGTGCCAATAGCTGAACAAGTTTCATTTATTTTTGTTACGAAAGCATGAAAAAAAACAATGACCAGAGAAGAAATAGTTCGTCTGAGAATATATCATTAAAATTTTCTGTCGAAAAGTTCTTTATGTTTCGCGAAATCTTGACAACCAGCTTAAAAAATGCGGTTTCAAGATAAACGCGTCGAAAGTTGGCAAACTGTGCGTTTCAACCATCTGTCATGCTCTTGAAAATATCCTATATCTCCGTCATTTGTTCGAATTTCAGAATCAAACTTCAGAAATATATTTTCATATAGTTAAATTTTAAAAGAACGTAAAAATAAAATTTAGATGCGAATTTAATGTATTTCGTTTTACAGAAACAAATTTCTAGGGAAACAAGAAAAGAGCTGAAAAGTGTACGTTCTTTTCGCAAAAGAATTAAAATAATTTTCCCGCCAAAGAAAATCAGAAAAATGTGTCCTCAGATTTTTGTTATCCTCCTGTCTGAATTCGTTTTTGCAAAATGATGTATTATGTCTGTTTCTAAATATTGCATTTTTTCAATCTCTGAGGACATGGTCTGTAAGTGCATAATAGAAATTGGTATGTTCGTAAGGGCCTTTGCCTGAAACAGATTTCGTAAAGAGGCGTTAAGCCGAAAAAGGTTGCCAAACGTTCTAAACGTTATTCTTTTCGTCGTCTCAAAGGAGAAATATGGAAGCAATTTCCAGAACTTCCATAGCCGTTATAAATTGTGCATTTCTTCAGAAATATATTTTGAATTTTACAGATGTATTTTATACAGTCGAGAATAAAAATTATTACTATTTTATGATAAACCATTCTTTCGATTTAAATTTCGAACTTATTTAAGTAGAAGTTGCTTTGATTATTGCAGGAATTTTCAGCCCTGATTTTCTGCAAGAATCGAGGTTCTACCATGCCATGTTATTCGAGAGATGTCTTCTATGTTAAAGTAACGAAGGAATTAATTAACAATCAGTACCTTTGTATTTGTTATTCGTACTTTTTTACCAACTTATTGGCAACTGATACATATGACTCTGATGTCAATACGTATCATTTACTTCAAGCTTTTGTATTTTTGAAACTCCATTCCACAGCTGTATACATACACGTCCACATTTGTTATGTGTATTTCTAGATTAGCTTACACCTGATTAAATATTTATTCAACTTCGTATGTCATAATAGTCTGGGATTTAATTAACATTTGCGTATGAAATCAATAGATGTTTTATGCATTTATGAATCGGGCTAATCTAATACAGAGACTCGTTCGAAAATATTATTTTTAATTTCTAGATACAAATGCACATTAAATTTCAAACACAATGTTAACAGGTATTTAATCATTGCTAGTATCTTGCGTAAATATTATTTGTCATCTTAAATTTGTCAAATTGTATTAAAACTATTAAATAAAAAACGTAGAAGTAACCCAAATACTCGTTTAAATTAGAAGTGAATTAATTCAAATGGATATTACTAATATTGTGATTGGGGAAAAATAGTACACAGATTGTAATTGTGTCTGGTTATATTACAGGGAGAAGAAACAGATAGAGTCTGTCACCTTGCAATCCCAGGACTGAAATATCTGAAGCAAAGCAGACTTAAATATTTAAAGTGAAATCCAGTTGGACCGAGTTATAGAAATAGCTGGTGTAAACGTTTCTCTTTTTCTTTTCTTTTATAGACTACTTTGACCAGCGCCGCTGAAATTACGAAATTCTTTCAACTCTCCTGCCTCGCAGCCTGTGTTCCCTCGTGAGTAATTATTAGATTGCATACGGAATGCATGCAACGAATATTCAAAAATATAATGAAATGGGTTCGTATTAATTTCTGAAGCTCCTGGAGTTAATGAAATTTTCATACATTTCCGTTGCGATTTTCTTCGCAAACTATTGAAAATTTAGGAGCGGTGAATAATGGTTGTGCTTAACATTTATCGTCAACGGGCAGGCAAAATTCTTGTCTAAATAAAAATTGCAAATACAGAGTAAAAGATGAGTCTTTCGTTATCTGTTGCTTATTAAAAAGAGACGGTTAATAAAATATTAATTCAGTTATAGAAACACCCTTTATATGCTTCGATGGATCTATGATATCATTTTGTGCACTTTTTGTAATATTGTTTTGAAATTCTCGTATCGTCCAAAATTCAAGATTGAGAATATACGGAACTCAAATATAAAGTTTCTTTAAAATTTATACAGAGTGTCCCAGGTTTTGATGTGTAAACTTTATCAGTATATTCTATGTTATCAGTATCAGTAAATAAAATGCATATTTGCATATTCTTAATTCATAAGTACTTGTGGGGAACTTTGTTTTTTGTTTATCCTTTTTTCCCGGGTGGCTGCAATACCTTGGGATGAACCCTAAAACCTACATTTACAATATGGGTATTAGTGTCTGGTTATGAGAGTGGGGTGATTCTTTGTATCAGCTTCAGGTGTTAGTGCTCGGAGGAAATTTTAAAACCTCGTTGTCATTTGTGTGTCTGGCGATGAGAGTGATATGGGGTTAATTGTTTGTAATTAGCTTAAGAGCTTTTATGGGGATTTTGAGTGATATTATTAGGGAGTTTAGGTGTTGGGAATTGGATTCCTGTGTGTTGGTGGTTAATTTCAGAATGCGTTCATGCAGGAGCTCTATGTTAGCTTCTATGTGGAGTAAGGCAGTGGACTAACATCGGGGTTTGTTTAATATGGAGTCTGGAGATATTTGTTTCGAATTCTTTGGATTGAGGTGATGTGGATTTTGGTGGCAGTGCACCACACTTGTGCGTCGTAGGTTAGGATATTGGGAAGTCAGTCGAGGAATGTATATACATATAGCAACGAAGGGGTCGGTCGAGCGGTTATGAGAGCGCGATCCCTTTGGCGGCGAGCATGGGAGATAACGCCACACTCCCAAAGAAAAAAAAGATTTCTCACAAAAAATATAAGAAGTTTGAAGTCGTAGCAAGTGTCTACGATTTTAACACATACGTACATACCTACACACAAATTTATTTAAAACAAATTTCTCTTCTTTTTAATAGACAAACCCTAATCAAACATTCTTGAAACATGTATCCCCCAGAGAAAAAAGAAATTTGTCGAAATTTGTCTCGTTTACAAAGACCTGTGAGGAGCTTGAAGTCGTGGCATCTCACGTAGGATTTCAACAAACACATACCCCAATGTATGTACGTACACACAAGTTTATTTTAAAAAAATCTCTCCTCTTTTTAATGGTCAAAACGTAATCAAAGATTCTCAAAATATGTATCTCCCAGAGAAAAGAGAAATTTGTCTCGATTACAAAAATCTGTGAGGAGCTAGAAGTCGTGGCAACCGTCTCACCTAGGATTTTAATCAACGCAGAGCGCGCACTTCCGTTTGGCGATAACAATTGCGGCCCAACGGCAGAAACGGCCTTGGTAAATATTTTTATTTCGTTACTTGGGACGGAATTTCGCGGGTGCTTTTCCCCTTTCCCTACCTCCGCGTCCCTATGACCGCGCGTAGATCGCATGCGGGTGCATGTGCCGGTTGATGCTGCGCCTGCGCGGTGCTCCATGTCACTAGACAGCCAGCCGCCGCGCCGCTACGGGTGCATCTCGCGGCAGTTCGCAGTCGTCTTCTAAACCAAGCTCATTAGTCGCCCAGCATTCGGCCGGTACACATTTTCGTGAATCGTACTCGTCTACTCGCAGGACCGTATCTCGCAACGAACCATCCGACGCCCGCCGCGTCCGTCGCCCTCTCTGTTTTCCCTGGTCGTTGCAATTCGTTCCGGATCAGTCGATCGCAGAAAGGAACGACGCGTTCGCCCTCCCGCCGCGTATCGGCAGCCAGTCTTCCCGCGAGGGGATGCAACTGAACTCGATGGGCTCCCGTGCACGTGCCAGCTGACTCTTGAGGAGCGTCGAACTCGATACGACCCACGCGCTCGCTCCCTTCTTTCCCCGAGCGGAAGTACCCGGTGATTCAGCCACCCCAGTCTCCGCGCGGAATGACTTCCGTCCTGTTCGCGTAAAGATTCCTCGGTGACAGTTTCCATCGTACGCCGATGATCGGGTGTCGGGAGGGTAACGAAGTCCCTCGAAAAGAGTTCGGTAAGTTCGATTAATCCGAATCCGGGAAGTTGTTGGGGGGGGAAACGCGATCAACGGTTGGAGGTCGTCGACACGACGGGAACGACGCGAGGACAGCCGTGGCCCATGGTCGAAACCACTTCGAGCCAACGCTTTACGATCAAGTTACCCATGCTGCAGCCACCGTCTCCGCTTCTGGAGATGGCATCCTTGCGACTACCGGACTCCGAGGAGTTCGACGTCGACACGCGTCGTAGGAGTAACAATGGCAACGTGCCGGCGACGACCGTCGCGGCCGTTCCACCAGCCACCCTGCTACAGATGAGAAACGATTTCAGCAACTACCTGAACAACCTAATCGCCGAGGCCATCACGACCAACCCGAGGACGCCGATGGACGAGCACGGAGGGTTGCTGAACGCCAGCAAAACGGTGAACCTCTCCACTGCCGAGCAAATACCCGATCGCCTCTACAGGCACAGCATGGCCATGTCCGCGGTCTATTGTGTTGCCTACATCGTGGTCTTTGTCGTTGGTCTGATCGGCAACAGTTTCGTCATAGCCGTGGTGTACCGGTCACCGCGCATGAGGACTGTCACGAACTTCTTCATCGTCAACCTCGCGGTGGCGGACGTCCTCGTCATCGTGTTCTGTTTGCCCGCCACCTTGATGAGCAACATCTTCGTTCGTGAGTATTTGGAAATTTTATTGCTATGGCGCTGGAAGAATGTTTGAGTCAACTGAATACTGTTTGGATGAATGTCCATTTAGTAGTCAACCTCTAGATGAGGGGAAAATAATTTACGAACAGTAAAACTTAACGCACCTTTTGTAGTGTAAAAAAGATATGTCAAGAAACTTGGTATTATTTTTTATGTAAAATTTGATAGGTTTACGTATTGCTTCGATACTTAAACAAATCAATGGAATCGAGTTGAGAATTTTAATAACGTTTCTAGGCACAGAGTGCATGCATCGATAAAACGGATTAATGAAATTGAAAAAATTGTAGAAGTAATGGGACTTTGAAGTTCTATACGCTTTAACACTGTATATCGAAACTTTAAAGCCTTATTTTGTGAAACTAAGTCTTTCAAACTGGTGGACAGGGTATCTCGAGATAGTTAATCGATTGGCTTACAACTTCGGACACGAATGAAGTACAAATCGCGTGGAACAAGAACCTCTTTGGTTCTAAAGACCATAACTGCTGGAATTATGCTTACTATCGAAAGCCGAGAATATTAAGTATATGTATAAATCGAGAATGTAGTATCTAATACTTTAAAACAGTCTAAACCTTTGTCCCCTAGACCAGACTAGCCTTTTAAAGATAAACAAAGACAATTTTGCTCGCAACAAATGCAAATGTAATAACATTTATACATTCTTTGGGTGAATCTCAGAAATATGGAAAGGCATAAACAAGTAAAAACAACATCTTAACTCCCCCTCTTAGGTTCAAAGATTAAGTGGATTACAGTGCAGTGTCAAAGGAGAAAATGGATGGCTAATTTTTGCTCGGTCGTAGAGTTTTTAAGGTCGATATTCGATCGCAAATCCTTCCAGAGATCAATTTCTTAACTCCACATAGTTTTACATGTAGCCATAAATAATACCCTCGATTTATTTATAATAGATATTCCATTCCTTATAATAATATAATGTAATTACTAGTTTTACGTGTAAATAACACAGGAGCTATTTTCTCGTTATATACAACGAAGGTAAGAATTGAGTTTTTAAAACCAGTAAGGACTATAACTCGGTCCTAAAAAACTCGATATTAAGGAAATCGTACCAACGACCCTAGAGCAAGCGTTACGTTCAATTAGCGCGAGAATAGCTAGATGTTCCAGGGTGTTTTCCGCGACAGCAATGCCATTAGCGACACATAATCCTGGCCAGCAGTGAAATAACCTTTCTGAAAAATTCTCGATCGCTAAATCTGAATCCTATGCATTCTCTCGAGCTCTCCGGCAGCAATCGCGAACACGTTCTTCTTCGGAGTAGCTTTAATCCTTTAATGCTGTTGATACTGCGCTCTCGTGTAAGTTTGCGAATACGAAAACGGTCGGCGATTGAATCGATCGCGCGTATTGATCATGCGTGCAGAGGGGGGCCTGGGAAAACGGGAAAATTGGATCGAAGGCGATTAAACGGGCGCGATCCGTTTGTCGATTTGTCGTCGCGCGGTTCCACCCCCGTCCGCCCCCTTGGTTCCAGCCCTCTCTCGACCTCGAAGGGTGGTTGGAGGCAGGATTGGAAGGGGGTTGAAAGGTTCCCTTGATACTACGGAATCGATCTTTTCGCGACTCTCTCTGGCGCTGTTCACGCTCGATGCACCGAGCGTATCGAGATTCCGTTTTCAGGGGCCGACAGCTTCGTCCCGGGCTAACTGCGGATAAATTATTCAATAATGGAATCACGTGATATGTCCCAGACAAAGTGCAAAGGAGGTTTCGCCGGATTTCTTTTCAATTCCTGAATTCGATCTGCCGATTTGGATTTCGATCGATCGATCGCGGAGACGAGGAACGAGGTTGCCAGTCTTAATCGAGTAATTCTCTTCGTCGCGTCTGGCGGGAATATTTAAGAGATACTCGACGGAAAATTGTAGCATGATCGAGACTATAGTACTCGTGCAAGCGTTTCGATATAAAAGACTGAAAGATAGAATTCATTTTCGGAAGTAAGAATATTATATTCCAATTATCGAAGCAAGGAAAACTTTAAATATTGTGATCGATTGTGTTAAGCATCTATTTTCAGATTTAAGTTTCGGTAAGTTGTACTTTTTAACTCCATCTGTTAACAAAACAGTCGTGTATGTCTAATATTATTCATAAATATTTGACGATAGAAGAGCGATACGTATCATTTATTTATCTATTAATTTATCTAATGGCAATCGAGAGGACAAGTTTTATGATACATTAATATACAGTAACAAGATAAATAATTCATATAACGTGTGTCAGTTTACCGTGTTGATTAGTTAGAATATAAATTTGCAAAATTAACCTAATTCATATACGTACCCCAACATTCTAATTATTGAATCGATCTTATTATAGTAATATAGGGTAACATACGTAATACCTACTTAGCAAAAATACGTCGATGTATTTCGAAGACAGTTTGTACAAAATCAACTTTTTAATTTGCCACGTATATTTTATTACAACACTGGTAGTATTACAGTGTAAATTCATTGAACAGCTGTTGACCGAAATCGCTGGTCCTATTGCTAGTCTACAACCTCGGAAAATCCTTATTTCATCGCATCATTAACAGGAATGAGACTATAATAAACGGTTGGATGTAAATGACCAATTTGATAACGATTAATTAAATGGGTCAGTTAATTCCGATAATGCCAAGGGATAACAAGGCATATGGTGGACAAATAATATGAATTTGTCGCTGGGACGGCGTGCAATTAAGCTGAGATCATTATGTGTGCAACGCGTATTCGATGTAACATCAATATAATTACGATTGCGAACATTTGTAGCTGAAGCCTGATCGTAGGAGGCCATGATTGGAAACATCACCTTTACGAGACCCTTCGTTCCTTGATCGGTAGCTTTGTCGCCTGTTAAGATTAGTATACTCTTCAGGGCCGTCGAGATCTAAGGGATTTATCGATCGAAGTTCGACCTTAGTTCCATTTTGTTGGTCTATGCTAGGGATATGAGAACAGTATAGACGCGTTGAAACGCATTACACGCAATATTTTCTTTTCGTTTAACTAAAAACTGACAGCTTTTGATTCCCACGTGTTGAATCTTTACTGGAAACAAATTACAACCGATAGGGATTTGTCATGATTTTTGACGGGGTTGTATTTTTTACCAATCGTCTTTTCCATTCATTATATTTTTCTTTTTACTGTGAATGACTTTCTGTTAAGCCGGTAGATATTTATCAGAGTTTCGCAGTATCGCCCTTACGGTCAATTGGCCTCTGCCTTAGAATATCAGAATTTCCGTTATTCTGCTTTTCGTTCAGAAATAGAATACGAGTTGGCTTGCCACATTCGACCATTTTTCCCACTGAAAAAGGGCGGAAATTGAAATTTGATTAAATTTTGATATCCATCGTTCACTTCCTTTCTGTGAAAGAAAAAATCTATTTTTTTTTGTTCGATAACCTTGTTAGATTCATCGTTTACAATTTTTAGTAGAATTGGAAAACAAATTTGTACGTATTGAATTCTTCCGATTGTTTGGACTTACAGAAAAAATTTAATTATTTAAATGCAGTGATAAGAAAGATCCACGATGAAAATTGCATTTTTTGTTTTAAATAGCAAGTAAAAATAGCTCGTTTAAAACTGACAGACGTCAAGCTGTAACACATGCCTCGCGTCTTCGTAGTAGCTACAATATGCAAGAGATAAAAACATATGGTTCCATGTAAACAATCGTGACCTCGAGGACTGACATGAACAACTGTGCAAGTAAAAAAATTATGTTCGGTATCTTCATCTTTAGGAACCATAAGATTTTATTACGCATGTTTTTCCAATCGTTCAATTCCAGAGGGCCATTTAAACGTCTTATTTCTCGTGACTTTTACGAATCATTATCTTTTTTATTACTCTGCATTTATTATTTCGAATTATATCTCCGATCCATACCATTGTCTTTTGTAACAAATAATGTCCTTTTAAATATTTACACCTAACATTCTCATTCGATACTGTATTAAATATCTTTACTGAATTTTAAGACAAAGAAAACGTGTAGGTCAAGGATGGAGATATTGAATACACTTTTACGAAAGTCTTCAATTTCAAACTCCTCAAGGACATCAATCTTCTCTAACTTTTACGTACTTTTTTTTGTACATAAATTAAAAAATCTTGAAATACTAAACCAGTTCCTTTCAACGAAATCTGACGAAGTTAATACTTCCTGTAAGAACAACTTTCTAACAAAAAAAAACATTGTTTCATGTTCCGATAATTCAGAATCATGAAATATAATTACGCGTTTATCTGAATCCTCCTGAAAGATATTTTCCATTTCTTGTATTAAATAGTTTTAATTGCCGATCCATCGTATTCTTTACTAGGTCAAACAACGTCCACAAAAGTTTATCGATATAAATATTTCTGATTACATTTTCGACCCATACGATCCTTTTCTAGGTCAAATGGTATCCATCAAAATTTATTGTTATTTAATAGAAGCTTCAGCTTCGGCGACTTTCATGTATCGTCCATCCAGGTGTAACAATTTCACTCGGTGATATCATACTTTCCACTCGTATTACACAAAAGATCGGTTTCGTTTCGAATTTAAAAGGTCGATGTAATTGCATATAGAAACAGAGAGACCGACCGTGAGGTTCCAGACTTGTTTCAGCGGCCAATTGTCAACGAGTCGTATGACAAAGACGCCATTATCACGCACTGGCGCACGTTTATGTTCTTCGCGACAAATTCAAGTCCTCCAGGTTCGTCTAGAGCGACTCGCGGCTCATTCCGCATACAAATACATTGTTTTATCGAGCCGGTAGCGATACAACGTAACAGAAAGAAGACGTTCACTTTCAACTTTCAGTATTTGTTACGTTGCAGCGTATGAAAAGAGTTTTACGAAGAAAAATTGAAATCATTAAATAAGACGTTTCAAAATTTGATAGGCCGGTGAGCAACTCTCTGATCTCTTCTTCATC